TGGTTCACTGCAGAATGAGCAGAGAATGGCGAGAGGTGGGCTGTGTTATCCCTGATAACCCCCTGCTCCTGCCACTGCATCGATCAGGCCCCAAATGAATTACGTGTGACTTTTAGAGAGTTCCTTTCCTTTTCCACGCTTCCATTTCCTTTCTGTAAAATAAAGACACTGAACTATATCAGGGTAGCAAATAGGTTTAATCTCCTCTGTCAACTCCGGTTGATCAGTAGTGGGTACCTGGGAAACAGATTTAAAGGGATTCTGAGGCTTGCTGGGTTTAGCAGATAAGTTAGCCATAATCTATTAGCAATTCCTGCAATGGATAGAGAGGCTGGTGGCAGCTGTTCTGAGATTTGCCAGGCCTAGATTAAACACTCCCCAAGAACCTTTCCTTCTCTCTAGTGCTCTGGTTCTTTTTCCGGGTCTTCTTGATGGGCCTTTGAAGCTGGGAGGCAACTTACCCATCCAAATGAATGTTCAGTGTCACGGGAGTGAACAGGAGTCTGAAAGGGAAGTGGTAGATTGTCAAGCTGCTTTCTGAATGGTTCAGGAGTTTCTTTGGAATCACATTGCAATTTGAACATTAAAAAATAAATTGGGGGCCTACATGGTGGTGCAGCAGTAAAACATGATGCTCTGCAAGGCTGACCCACAGGGGAAGGTTCTGGCTTCATGCCTGGTACGCCAGCCGTCGACGTGCTCAGGATTCAGGCCTGGCTGAGGCTGGGAGTGGGTCAGGCCATATTAGGGGTGCTGTCTATCATGCCCATGGAGAAAATAAACAAACTTAAAAAATCTGTTAAATAATGATAACAATACATTTTTTATCAAAAGGACAAAGAGAATGTTTCCCTGAAGTTGTGCACATAAGCTATAGCCCAGTGTGGCCATGTGCGTTTGGAAAATCATCTTCTGGTAGGCTTCTGTCCATAGCATTTAGCAATGGATATTCTGATATTTTTAAAATAATTATTTAATTTTTAAATTATTATTATTTTAATTTGCTATAGGGCATATGCACTCACCAGAGAGAGATGGGGAAAGGGAGGAAGAGTGAGAAGCCAAGCTACCAGGTCCAGGACTTGAACTGTGATCAGTCATGGTGGGAGTCCAGTGCCTTAACCACCACAGCACCTGTTGGTGAGTTTTGCCAAACCGGCAACAGTTTCTAATGTGCAATAGGCAGTTGCAAGTTCTAACAGTTGTATGATTATGTGAATGCGTGGTGCAGATTTCCTTAGAACTTGGTTTAGCCACCTCCTTTCTATTTAGGGTCTAAGTTAACGATGTCTTGTTTTAAGGGTACTTGGCTAACTCGAGCAATGAGATTTGACTTTCATGAATCTTCAGAAAGAAATCTGTGTGTGAATCATGTCAGTCTCCCATTTTTGTAAGTAAAAATACAACGGTTATCTACTAGCATTTTATAATCTTAAAGAGCGTGACATTCTTCCCAAGAGCCAAGGACATCAGCCTTAATTGTAAAAGCTTTTCAGATACAAATTTGATGCTAAGGTCTTCTTTCTCCAGAATCTCTCTGACAGTAAAGTCTTCAATCTCTCCGTCATTGCCTTACTGCAGATAGCTATAGTCTCTGTGTGTGAATTTTTGATCTCTGGCTAAGCAAAAATCACCAATTGATAGTCATGCTACCCCACTAAAATAGGATGAAAAAATTATATTGTACGTGCTTTCTCAGGAAGAATCAGCACTCAACTTGATTTTTGTTCAGAGGACCCTCGGCCAGGCACTGTGATGGAAGGACATTTTTATAAGGGAGTCTATGAATATGACAGCAGCAATAAACAGCTGAAAATAATCTGCAAGGCGTTTGCAAATTACCCCTCATGAGCTGTAGTGGTTGTGAAAGATAATTTGTGGTTCTTGCAGAATACCCTGCAAATTGGGTCTTTCATCTGCAACAGTTTTTTACAGTTCAAACATTTCATTTCTCATATTAACAAATGATAACTCTGCATTTGTTAATCCAAACAATTTGATTTATATTTTTCTGTACTAAGAAGCTGTTGACATTTCAGGGTAAGTAATTATTTTCATTGCCAACCGCTGTTTGTGGTGACTGTAGGCGAAAGATAGAAATCTGAATATACGTATGCATCGTTTTAATCATTTTCCTTAAAGGCTACTCATAAAGCAGGAAGTCTGTTTGCCGGAATTACCATCTGCCCTTAGACATCTAATAGGACATGGATGTTGACAAGTGAGGATTGGAGTCACATCCGGGGTTTTCTGTGCGGTAGTAGAAGCCCTCTCCTGTAGTCACTGTGGGTAGGGGGACAGAGCTGGCCTGCAGGGTCACCAAACTGGCAGGAATAGTGCACTTGCAGTCTTAAATCACCACAGTGAGAGGAAGCATGCGTTATTGGCCTCAGTGGTTCCCACGAATGTAGTATCTCTCCAAGTATCTCTCCGGGTGGATGTCAGGATTATACCATGAATGAGCACCTTGCACCATGCCTGGTACGCAGCGTGAACTCAGAAACATTAGGTGAACTGGGGTCAAGGTATAAAAAGATCTTCTGAATTTCCCTTCTCATATTGCATTCTTGGCCAAGGATTTGCCATCCAGGGCCGTGGAAAGAAAAGTTCTTTAACCTGGAAAATCATTTGTGATATCCTTAGAGCAGAATGATGAGTCCTGTCCACTGAAGTGGCCCACATAGGTGTACCGAGGGCCTAGGACAGAGCCAATGCATTCATACTTCAATGTGTTCAGATTTATTTTAATATATGGAGAAAAACTTACTACCAAAATTAAAACTTATACCACCAGAATAGTCATCAGCAAAATTTTTTCTCCAAAACGATGGTCCGTTGGGCTAGCACGTGGCATAGAGGTGAAGGTAGCTGGGTCCCACATTGCCAATCGCATGGTTCCAGTACTGGACCCAGTGGCTTTCAAAGTGCATGTGCAAAATCCCAAGAGGATGAAGGAGAAGTGGTGTGGGTTATCCCCCCTGGGAGCTGCTTTCTCTATTTGTCTGTCTCTCAGTCTCTCTCCCTCTCCCTCTCTTTCTGTCTCTAGTAAATGCATACATCCTATAGCAAAAATGAAAAAAAAAAATCTGGCCCATCTTCAGCCTGTAGGTTATGGGTCCCACACTAAAGCACTGTGGACACTTGTAGATGGCCTCTGTGGTGGTTAGAGGTCCACTGGTGTGAAATCTGTGCTATAGGGTGTTTTACAATCTGTTTCCCCGTGGCCTTTTAACACTATTGGGCAAGGTCCAGGCTGTTTCTGAATCATACACCTATGAACCTTCCATTCATGTTCCAGTTAGGGAGTGGGCTACATTTTAGATTCTAAACTAACTTTTATGGCCTTAAGGAGTGAACGTAGAGCCAGTACCCTGATTGGCAAATGTGTTTTATCCTTTGTACCATCTCCAATTGATTGGTTCTGGTTGCCTCCAGTGCTGTCTTAAGGAGGCATCTGTGCTACATCGGGGCTCAGCCTGGAGCAGCTCTGGGATTGATTAGCAATGTCTGTCATGGCCTTTGGAGGGACAGTTACCCCTATATTTGCAATTCTCTGCTTTTAATATGTCCTGAACTCCTCTGTGCTCTCTGTACTTTAGCTCTTGTAAAATGATTTTTAATACTAACAGGTGATTGTACATATGAGGTGGGGCATCACAAGAGGGAACAGGTAGATTCCACTTTAAGAAAACTTACCATGAGAAAATGCAGATTTGCAAACTACATAAATCTGGAGCCAATTATTTCCATTACAGAAAAGATTCCATGAAGGGTTCCTTTAAATAGCGAGCTCCCCTACTGCATTAAAATGATGATTCAATTTACAAAAATTCACTTTGCATGCAACTCTTCAGGACCGACCGTGTCTGAGGAGTCGAGCAAGCCACACCTGATTTTTTAAAACCACGGCCTAAATAATGTCCAGGATGGCCGCAGACATATCTTGAGTCTCTTGGTAATTCCCACCCTCTTCAGACTTCCTTCTTACTTCCTGTCCCAGAGTGTTGAGTAGACAATCTGGGTGGTGGTCAACAGCTGCTGGCTTCCACCCTGACACGGCTGTGTTTCATTAGCGGGTAAACTGATTGCTCCGAGTATGTTTATGTGTGGGTGTGGTTGTGCAAGTCTGTGCACTCCGTGTGCTTTGTATGTAGATGCAGATACACAAAAGTCATTATCTCACTCTCAGCCCAACCTAAATTCGTTCCTGCTGTAAGAGTTATAAATGGAAGGTTCCAATCGCTTAGTGGATATGGCCATTTGGTAATATCTGCCCCGGATTCCGGCTCCCCGTCCTCTCTGTGTTTGTTTATACGTTATTTACCCTCGCATCAGAAAACTTCCCCAGACTCTGGGCCTGAGTCCCATTATCCAGACATGGAACCTTCCTCTTCCTCTGCAGCCTAAAAAGCCCCAAATGGTTTTCTGATTTAGCAAATTAAATATAATCTGACTCTTGTGGCAAGCTATGAAATTCCCAACCAACAGACTCTCCCACTAAATATATAACATACACAACATCTAAAAGTATCACCGATCTAGCATGAACTTGAATTACAGAGGCATTCAGTGCCCCTTGGGGAAGATCACCAGCCTCTTCCCAGGCACTCAAAATTGGGCAGTTTTCCAATGGACCATAAAGCTCCCAAGAGTGCTGACTGGCATGCGTGTTTGAGTTTCCATGGCTCTGTAAAAGCAACTTAATCCAGGGAAGAGTACCTGAAAGAGATAGTATCTTTCCTTTCCCCCACGATGGCCTTCCCCCACACTGAATCACGCTAGTAACTTCTCAGGCCCAGAGCACAAGTGCCACTTCTGTTTCATCTCTGGTATTTAAAAAATCTCACCCCCCCAGTTTTTCCCAGGAATATTTTTTTAACAGACACGTCTTTATTTTTCTGTTGGAAAAAGCAACTAAAACAGAAACAGTGAACACATCAGCTCTATGCAGACACTGTCTTTCAACCTACAAGCATCAGTCCCTTTTGCGACAAAAGCTCTCAGGCTGGTGAGCTGTCAGGTAGCTCTTTTCCTCCCGTCTTCCCAGGCTTATTGGCTTGAGCCAAGGGTCCTCCCTGATACTGGGCTGTGATGGCCGCATAGGTACAGCCATAGATGGCGGCCGCCAGCATCATCAGACACAGGATCCCACACACAACCCCAGTGATGATGACGGTGGCAACGGCATGGCGCAGATTGGTTGGCCTTGGCTTGGGTTTGAACTCACACTCCAAGGAGTCTCGATCCCCAAAGCTGTGGTCCTCAGGAGACCTTGGGCTGGCCCTGTGGGCAGAGCCAGGCTGCTGATCCTGCAAGGACACCACTCCTGGAGGCAGAAGAGGGCAAGGCGGGTACAGCTCGTGAGGGATTTTCAGAAGGTCCTTTCCCTTCCAGATGTCTGGCGACTCACAGATGGCGCCATCTGTTATTCCCCCTTTAAAAAGGCAAAGTCAAAGGGTGAGAACAGAGCCTGATAGAGCTAAACTCCACCATCCTCCATGTGCCAAAACATAGGAGATGAGATTGATGAAGGACCATTTCCCACCCCACCTCTCCCCCGTCAAAGAAGTCAGTGACTATAGTTTATGATTTTAGGGTTTCTAAACTGGTTAAATGCCAGTCAGCAGATGGCATGGTGGTTAAGGGGCTAGACTCCCACATGGCCGGCTACAGTTCAAATCCCAGTCCTGGTGGCTTGCTCGCTCGCTCTCTCTCTCTCTCCCTCCCCCTCTCTCTCCCTCCCTCCCTCTCTAGTGAGCATGTATGCTCTGTAGCAAATTTTAAAATAATAATAATAATGATAAATAAATAATTCTTTATAAGTAAATAGATTAAATGCTAAGAATCCCACATGCTACATTGGCAATTACTTATGACCAAGAATTCATGAGAGGCCAAGTTACCTCTCCGTTATCTAAACACGGAAGGAAGAATGATGCAAAGAGTGGAGTTAGGGGCCAGCATCAGGGGTACTACTGCCCCCCAGCTTTCCTGCTGTGCACCTCCTTATAAGCCCCACCAAACAAGGAGTCTTTTGTACCAGACTTCCATTGGGAATTGAAGAGAAAATAGAAATTGGTTGTTGAGATGTTATGTGCTAATTACAAAGATCCCTGTGTCTGCCAGCTCTGTTCCGTGATGCCAGGTGAGAGGGGGACTGGACTTCTGAATGTCTTGTGTCTCTGAGGAGCTGACAGTTCTATTAGTTCAGTTCACGGAATTAGGGCAATGAATGCATCTCCTCAGGACTCGAAACGTTTACTACTTCGAGTATTGAACTTTCCGACGGGTTATTAAACCCAGTTTTCGTTCCCTGTGAGGCAGTTGATTTCCTTGGATGTGTGACTACCGCCGTTCAGGGGGAATTGAGGCGCTGGAGAATTCTTTTCTAAAGGAGCCCTAGGGTCCAGCCACGGTGGCACAGGTAGTAAGTTACCACTGCACAATTCCGGAGCCACATGGGAAGCCCAGGTTCAGATCCTGGGTGGGCCTGAACCTGCTGGGTACGCCCATGATCCTGGCTGACTGGGAGCCTGGAGGTGGACTGTGGTGTGGTGAGACCCTGTTGGGGCAACTTCTCTCTCTCTCTCTCTCTTTTTCTCCATTTCTCGCTCTTAAAAAACTGTGCTAAATAAGGAGCCAGCAGTTGGCATGGTGGTTAAGGTGTTGGACTCCCACATGGTCAACCATGGTTCAAGCTCTGGACCTGGTGGCTTAAAAATCACACTGGGTGTGTATGCATATGTGCCCAAAATCCCAAGAGGAGAAGGGATTGAGATGTGGCCATTGCCCTCTGAGGGGTGATTTTTCGCTTTCCCTCTCCGTCTGACTCTGTCTGGCAAGTGCACATGCCTTATGACAGAAATCTAAAAAAGATAAGAGAAAGAAAAATCATTAACCGAAAGCACTAGTCTAACAGACTTTATGCCACTATTTGTCCATTTGCTGTTTGACTATGGGAAAATAAACTTATCTGGCTGAATTTTCTACCATTAAAACGTGGTATTTGTGCCTGATTTCACAGTTTACAAAGCACTGTGAGAAAAGGGCTCTATTCTGTGGAAACACTTAAGTCTTATTCAGACTCACACAGGCCATGAGTGGGTGAATTGACACACCAACTCACTCCTCCCGCTTAGTCCCAGCTGTCCCCACTGTGCTCTCCACCTCTGTCCACTTCGTCCTCCCTGGCATGTCCTGAGGTCAGAGGAGAAGGCAGTTTGGTCCCCTGATCATCTGCCCGTAAGCCCTTTGACTAGGCTGGACGCCCCCATGACTTGTGCTCCTGGCCTGTTGTAAACACCTGCCCCGGGGAGGTGGCTGTGAAGACTGGTACCACACTTAGAAAAGTTACTTTAGAGAGTCTTTTTCCCCCCATATACCAGAGGATATGTGTGCACATAGGACAGAGAAAGAAAGCCCTCCCAAAAGGTCTGGTTACACCACAATCCTTTTTCCTATAATTCTCCATCCCATCAGGGTCCTGGGCATACCTGGTATATTTTATTCAAACCTCCAGGGTCAGGACTTGAAACCCAGTTAGCCACGTGGGATCTGGCTTCCTCTGTACTTAACCACTTAACCACTTTGCTATGGGGCCAGCCTCGGAGATTGTTAATATACGCAGTAAGGGAATTATAAATTACACCAGAAAGACCCATGCAGAGGTCATGACTGCAATATTCTTAGCACCTCCCCTTGCGTGGTGCTTCTAAGATCCGGAATGCTTTTACATTCACTCTGTCTGAGCCTCATAAGCCAACTCCTAGTGTTCCTGCAGCAGATAGAGCCACACTGGAGGGCAAGGTTATCCCGCGGCCCAGACACACTGGGGCAGCTGCAGCTCATGTCCCCCTTGCTGGCGTTGCTCAAAACTGAACCATCCATCATTGGAGGCTCTTGGGCTCCTCCTGGCTTCTTCAGCAATTTATCGAGCCAAGAGTCTCAACTTGAAAGCAAAAAGGGAAAAGAGAAACTCCCTCGTTTCCAGATTTATATGAGGCCAGAGGTATAGGGCAGATATTCCAGAGGAATCTGAGGTGCCATCAGGCTGTGCTGAGATTGAGGATCCTTGCCTGTGGACCATTTCATTTCTCCACACTTGGCCATCAGAGCTGTTGCTAGGGGGCTTGCAGCAAGGCAGAAGGCCAGAGAGACAGAGACAGAGCATGGGGCTTCAAAGTAGTAATGACGTTTACCTCGGCCCAAGGACACTGAGACTTCCACCAGCGAAGCACAGACACTGCCGTGGACTGGCTGTTCCATTGCTGACTCATTCCTAGACTGGCATGCTTTGCTCAGTCACTCCAGGCCTAGGAACTATCTTTCTTGGGACCAGCAGGTAGCATGGTGGTTAAGGCACTGGACTCCCACATGCCTAACTGCAGTTTGAGTCCTGGACATCTTGGCTCGCTCGCTCTCTCTCTCTCTCTCTCTCTCTCTCATGAGCATAAATGACCTGTAGCAAATTATTGGGTCATTGGAAAAGTCATGATGCATTTTTGCATAGAAAAACACAGAAAAGTATGTCATGACTTTTCTGACAACTCAATAAAAATGATAATAGTAATGATTAATAAAATTAAATAAATAATGATAAAAAATACTATCTCCAGTTCCATGTTTTCTGCTTATAAGTATTAGGGTGGGGACCACAGCCTGGACCCAGAGCCAAGGACATAGGCTGTGGCCTGGGAATGACTGGAAGACAAGAACTCCATGGCCTTCCATGCAGCAGTGTTCCCAGCCACTATTCACCCCACCCCTCACCATTGACCCAAGGCCATGACCCAAGAGACAAATCTGTCCTTACAGCAAAGGTCTCACTCCCTTCAACATGTGTATGAGCTGGCAGTGCAAGACGCTTCAGTACCTGATTCTGGCCTTGAATCTGCACGCTATTTAGCCGTGCAACCCTGAAGTTCCTTGACCACATCGTGCCTCTGCCTGCTCATCGGGAAAGTGGGAAAGGGATAGAATAAAATCCACTTCCCAAGATAGCTCGGAAGACTCCGTTTGGTAGAGGATGTTAAGTATTTAGCATAATTACCTAGCCCAGAGGTAATGTTTAATAAAGTTAGATGTTAGCATAAAGATGCTTTTCTGTTTTCATGAGTAGAGAGAAAGGAATTTTTAGACCTCTGTGAGGCTGACCCTATGGATAGGGGTTAAGAGTACCAGATCTCACATGGCTGACCGTGCTGTTCAGATCCAACACTGGTGGCTTGAAAACCATGCCAGTCATGTGTGCATGTATGCCACAGATCCTGACGGAATGGAGGAATAGAGGAGAAGGGATCGTAGAGTGACCGTGCTCCACTGGGGTGCTTTCTTCCTCTCCCTCTCAGTCTCTCCCTGGCAGGTGCACACGCCCTCTGGCTAATAAAAGGTCTGAGTGTCTTTTTGTAGGAGTTATATGGTTCCGTATTCACCAAAGCACATCTCTCTGCCTGAAAGACAGTTTCCCCATTCTTTGTGGTCAGCGTGAGACCACGTGACTGAGCTTTGACCAGTGGAACCTACAACTGAACTTCCAAGCCACCAGACCCCAGGGCAGTCCGCCAGGCACTCTGTTCTCATTTGGTGGTGATGTTAGTGGCCATGTGACAAAGTTGATGGCATCACAATCTGGCAGGGGCTTCTGTCCCTGAATAACCGTGTGAAATGCAGACCTGCCCCTGTGTCCCTCAAACTCTGATCCATGAGTGACAGGCTTTTCCTGTGTTTGTAGCTGAGGGCTGGGCTGTTCATTTGCCTGCTAGCCTGCCTGAGGAGTACCTTCAGTATCTGCATTGGGTTATGTACTGTTTTATTTTTTAAAAAATATTTATTTAATTTTATGTATTATTATTATTATTTAATATTTTCAATAGAGCATGAGCGCTCACCAGAGAGAGGGAAAGTGAGAAAGCAAGCCACCAGGTTCAAGACTCAAACCACAGTGGACCATGCAGGTGTCTAGGGCCTTAACCACCATGCCATCTAGTGGCTCTGTATTTTTTTTTAAGCTTTGATTAATATCTGTTCTCATATTTTACCTTTAATCAGCATATCCATAAGCAGCCTGTCTCCCATGTATTAGTTTTTTTTTGGGGGGGGGAGGATTTTGTAGGTCTCATTACCCCCAAATGACGTACTTTCCTCTGCAGAAAGGCTGTTGCCTGTGTCGTGCAGCTCTGCCATCAGCGGGCACCGAGCTGCATCACTAAACCTGAGGCCCGCCATGGGCTCCGGAACCCTGTGGCTTAGAGCTGCCAGTGTCCACCTAGTGACACTGAGCACCAGCGAAGGGTATTACTGGGCTCCATGACCACCGGCAAGTTTGTGGCACAGTAAGGGGAACTTTCTCTCTCCCCACGTTGCTTCTAGTGTCCTGAGCTTAGGAACTTTTTCCCCCTGGGGAAAAAGTTTGTGGCCACACCAAAATCCCTTCTCCTCCATGCTCTTCTCAGGATTTTGGGCACACACACACAGCACCTGGCATGATTTTTCAAGCCACTGACTGCGTCTGGGACTTGAACCACACAGTTGGCTATATGGGTTCCAACTGCCTTAGCCACTGTGCCACCTGCTGACCTGAGAACTTTTTTAAATCAAGAAACTTCCTTCTTTGAAGACAATTCTCATCTTGAAATGGTTTAGATCATTCTTACGATACATTTAGAACCCATAGTCTAAGCCACCCACCTCTGGATGGAAAGGGTTTTATTTCAAGCTCATGTAAAAGGTTGCCACATAGTATGTCTCCTATTGGAGGTCAGCGTGAACACGGGCAGGTCAGCAGTGTGCTACTTGCTATTCTGTTGTTAAGGATCTTAGGTCAGTATTACATATTTGAAGCCATGGAACCACTGCAACCCTCCAGAGTCTGTTGACTCCTTCATGCATGGCTGTAGCTCTTTGATCTTCTTGAGCTATGGGCTCAAATACAGACCCCCCCCAAGCCTGCAATACCCCTCAGCTGACCTCTCAGCCGACCACCTCCCCCACACACCCACATGCTTGCCCCTCTTCCCAGTCTCCTCTTATCAGCTAAAGGCATCATCATTTATCTGGCTACCCCTGGAGGCAAACCAAAATGGAATTCCTGGGTCAACCATATCACAGTGGTAAGGGCTATGTGGAGGCAGCTGGATCCCACATGGCTGACAGCAGTCTGAATCTCAGCCCTGGCAGCTTGAAAATACATTGGCATGTGCACATGTGCCAGGATCCTGGTGGAATGGAGAAATGGAAGAAAGGGGATTGCAGCGTGACCATGCCCCATGGAAGGGTGTTTTCTCTGTCTTCCTCTCTTTCCTGTGTGCATGCACCAGCTGACATTTTTTTTAACAGTAGGATTTCCAATCATTGTGCCCTTGCTTTGTCTCCCACTCTAACCCACTAGCAGTTTCCATTAGTTCAGTATTCCAAATATCTCCTGAAATTGATCCCTTCTCAGCACCCTACTTTGGACCACCCTGGCAATCACCTTCTCCCTCATTTCCCTGGATCTTCTTCCGCAGCCCCTGGTCTGCCCTCCCAAGAGTTGTCAGAGTGACCTTTCACAGTCTAATCGGATCACGCTGTTACCCAAAAACTCTCCGCAGTATATCCATGTCACTGAACATAGAATGCACGTGCCTTTGACCGCTCTGCCTGTTCCTGCAGAGGCATGTTGCCTGGTCCCATGTCCACCTCCCCAGCCCTTTCCTCTGTCCTGGCCCTCTGGTCTGTGGTCCAGACAAGCTTTCTCCCTCGTCAGGCCCTTTGCATTTTCTGTCCTTTCTCCCAGTCATCTCATGGCTCGTTCCTCCCCATTGGGGTCTACTCACCCATGGTCATCCTATCTAAAATGAGGTGCCATCCCACCACTCTCTGTCCGGCTTTTCTTGTCTACTGCCCTTTTCTCAGTGCCTAGGACAGTGCCTGGCATGCACTGATGGAAGGTATTCAAGGGTAGGAGTAAACTGAGTGATGCTGGGAGTGAGCAGGAGAAAGGCACTGGATGGAAGGGGGTGTAAGGAAGAATATAGGGCCAAACCCCAAAGCCATGCATTCTGCTCCCACTCTGTGATTTTGGAGAAGCACTGGCCCTCTCTGGGCCTCTTTTTCCTGCTGGTAATAGGAATGAACCACCTTTTGCATAAACGGGCCTGATAGTAGATCCTCTAAGCATTGCAATACAGCCTCTATCACAAGCACTCGACTTTGCTTTGGAGTGCCAAGCCCCCCTCAGTGTGTTCCAGTGAAACTCAGTTTACAAAAACAGGAGGTAGGCTGGACATGGCCCTTAACCCGTAGTTTGCTGATCTCTGGTGATTTTTAGAGCTCCTCATCATTAATATTTGGGGAGCTCTTGCTTTGCTTTGGCATCTGGTTAAAAAAAAAAAAAAGCGAGTCACTTTAGAGAGGTCCTAGTGTCCTAATTTCAATAACATTGATATTTGTGTTGTGTGGGAAAGACTGACAGATGTCAAATGCATAAGAAGACCAAGAGGGAGCAGTGCCCAGGAGTGGTAGCCATGCTCCTGTTTGGATCACATGAAAGTTAGACTCTAGGGACCAGCAGTTAGCATAATGGCTATGTCGCTGGACTCCGTGGTTCGAGTCCCAGACCCGGTGGCTTAAACTCACGACGGATGCATGTGCGTGTCTGCCCAAGCTCCCGAGAGGAGAATGGAGGAGAAGGGATTGTGGCGTGGCCATCCCCCCTGGGGGGTGATTTCTCGCTTTCTGTCTCTCTGTCTCTCTCTGTCTGGCGAGCGCACGCGCCCTATAGCAAAAACCTCTCCAAAAAAAAAAAAAAATAAAAAAAGTAAGAATCTAGAGCCACTTTGAGGGGAGAGTTATTCAGGAAATGACCGACTCCTCCTTCCAAAGGGCATACTTTCCAGCTAAGCAACTTCAGATTATTTTAGTCTAATAAAGGGAAAATTATCTTGGGGCATCATATTTACAGTCAAATTGAAATATCTAAATTTAAATATCCTCTAATGACTCGCTTGCCTCTTTTGTCACACTGTGAAATGACATCAATGTGGAAGAACTTAAATGTGTCCCTTGTGCACTCCCAAGGTTCTTTCTAATGCAGAGGACAGAAGAGGGTCATCCCAGATGGTCACCCCCATTGGGGGCTTCCATGGAGACATTACTGACCGTTATAGATAAATTTCTCCAGCCAGAGTTTAAGACCCAGCAAGTGGCAATTACATTTCCAGAGGTTGTCCTTGAGAAACAGAAGCCTCACGCTGGGCATGGAGTCCAGGAGTCCACGATGCAGCAGCTGAAGCTGGTTTCGTTGAACTGCAAATACCGTCAGTTTCTCCCAGGGCTCATCCAGGGATGTGGGAAGGTGGCTGATGTTGTTTGATGACACATCAAGCTCCCTCAGCTGTGGGAGGGAGTGGAAAAATCTGCTTTCCAGGGATCGCAGGCAGTTCTGGGTCAGGTTTAAAACCTGCAGATGCCGAAGTCCATGGAAAGCCATGGGGGCCAGATGTGCAAGGGAGTTGTTGGACAAGTTCAAGGTCGTGAGCCGCGCCACCGACCTAAATGCAAAAGCAGGAAGCCAACGAATGTGGTTATCCTGTAAGTGCAACGTTAGAGTCTGAGGAGGCAGATCAGAAGGGATTTCAGCCAGACCCTGCCGGCTGCAGTCGACAGAACCTGAAGATGAGTGACAGCGGCACTTCTCGGGGCAGCCACTTATGATCGGGAGCAGGAGAATCAGGAACAACTCCCCTAGGACAAACAGAAAAGACTTGGGATAGAGACCCGTTTGTGAGGAGTGGCGTTGGCATTTTTCCCCCTTTGAATTCACAGTAATGTGATTCAGAACCAGGTCACTCCTGCAGCCTGGAAGAGACCATCTGTCCATCTCCATCTCTAGCGGAATCAGGCTAGACCGATTGCATCCCCGCTACCAGTAGTGAATGCGAAGTCTAGCTGCAGTTGGGAGCTAGCTATGCTTGGGGGCCTTGGGGAAGATACTTTCACAGAAACCAGGAGACGTAACTTAAGTATGGCAAATAGGAAGGTTAAAAAAAAATTGGGGGACACATGCCCCTGGCTGGCAGGGTGCAGCAGAATTTCTGGGACCAAACAAGTAGAAGAGTGATGGGGATCAGCCATGGTGGCGCAGTGGGAACATGGCCATCCACAGTGCTTAACCTCCCTGGGAAGGTTCTGGGTTTGCATCCCAAAGTCTTCCTAAGCACACAGGCGTGCGTGCCCATGATCCTGGCTGGGTAAGACTGAAGGTACATCATGGCACTAGATGCTGTTGGACGTGACCCTCTCTCCCCATCTCTACCTTTAAAAAAGGGAGATTTGGGGGCCAGCAGGTGGTGTAGTGGTTATAGTACTGACTCCCACATGGCCGACTGTGGTTTGAGTCCCAAATGTGGTTGCTTGAAAATCGTGCTGGGTACACGTGCCTGCATACTCAAAATCCCAGGAGGAGAATGGAGGAGGAGGAATTGTGGTATGGCCAACACCTCCCACCCCCCCCCGGGGGGGAGTGATTTCTCACTTTCCCTTTCACTGTCTCTTTTTAGTGAGCACACATGCCCTATGACAAAAAAACTTTAAAAAAAATAAGAAGAAGGATTTCAGATATTCACATTTCTGAAAAGTATGCCCCAGAGCAGTGCTTTCTTATAGGACTTTCTGTGGTGGTGGGAGTGGTCGGTGTCTGCTGGCCAGTACAGTAGCCACTAGCCATGGGTAGCTACTGAGCTGTTGATGTACACTGCTGCAACACGAAAATGAATTTGCATTTGTATTTGACTCTCGTTATTTTAAACATAATGGCCACATATGACTAGTGGTTACTGTGTTAGAGGATTAGACAGAGCAGGTCTGTCAGGGTAATTCATGAGTGACTGTTGCTTCTGCTACTTTGTGAGTCAAGAGATGTTAAAAATACAGTACCACATTAAGAATAATATGATCAAGACCAGCAGATGGCATAATGGTTATGCTGTTAGACTCCCACGTCCAACATGGTTCGAGTCTCAGACCCAGCAGCTTAAAACTCCCATCGGGCACATGCACGTGTGTGTGCGTGCCCAAGATCCCAAGAGGAGAATGGAGGAGAAGGGAATGCACCATGGCCATCCCCCTGGGAGGGGATTTCTTGCTTTCCATCTTTCTCTGTCTCTCTGGTGAACACAATGCCCTATAGCAAAGATCTCTCTCTCAACAATAAAAAAGAATAATATGATCAACACGTGACAATTCTGCTGTTCACTCACAGGTGAGCGTACTCCCTTTGTCTCTATCTTTCTTACTCAGAGAAGCGACACATTGCTGATGTAGTTGAACTCCCTACACAAGCGTCCTTTCCCCCAGCATTAGTGATATATTCCTCCAGATGTTTTATGAATGATAGTTAGGAGCAACAACAGGGCCAGCCGATGGTGTAGTGGTTGACTGCGTGGTTCAAGTCCCAGACCTGATGGCTTGAAAAACACACTGGGCATGTATGTGTGTGCACGCCTAAAGGTCCAAAAACAGGAGCGATAGAAAAGAGATAGTAGCATGACCGTCACTCATGGGGGTTGCTTTCTCACTTTCCCTTTCTCTCTCCCTCTCCCCCTCTGGTTTTTGTTTGTTTGTTTGTTTGTTTTGTGTGTGTGTGTGTGTGTGTGTGTGTGTTTCCTGCCTCTCTCCAGAGAACACATGCATCCTCTGGCATTTCTTTTCCTAAGTCAATTCAATAACTAGCAACAACAGCAAATAACCATTTTGAGCAAGTCACCATTCTAAGTGCTCTCTCTATATATATATGTATAGATTAATCCTTGTAAGGATGGTTCTATTATGATTCCCATTTCAAAGGTAAGGCTAGGAGGCTCAGAGAAGCTTTTGGGTACTGGGGAAAGTTACAGTGCATTTTTGCATTGGAAAACATAGAAAACTATGACTTTCCCAACGACCTAGTAAATCACTTGCCCAAGGTCATATAAGTAGGTAGCAAAGAGTTAAGCTCTGATTTGCACCCAATCTGTTTCTCGAGCTGTCAGAGTTCTTGTCCACCGTGGTTCACTGCTAGTCAGACACCTCTCTCCCCATGTGTCTTTCTCTCACACACACTATTTGTGTAGTGGTTTGTTTGTTTTTTTTTAAATTCACATAACTGCAATCATTTGTATGTCTCATTCTGCAGTTTGCTCTGTTTACTCAAAGCTGCTCTATCCACCTGGCTGGAAAGCTCATTCATTTCCCCGACGTGCAGTAGAGTGTTCCATGGTGAGCCCTCAGCCATGGGGAACGTGGGCAAGGGTCTCTGGAATCAAGGACCTTCTTGGGAGGGCCAAAAAGGATGCTGAGTTTGCATTTTCTTAGGTACTTCTAAGTCACCCTCTAAAGTAACGGCCTTACTCTTCTTTTTCCTGAGACTTGGATTTCAAAATATGGCAAACATCTGTCCAAGGCATTTTACTAAATTGATAGAGGAACGTGCTAGGGCCACACAGTAATACCCACAACTCTAAATAGTCATCTACTCCCAGCGAAAGCTCTTGAAAGAGCTTCGTTTGCTTGTTTGTTTGTTTGGAATCTTAACAAGAGAAATATACAGTATGGCTATCAGATGCATTTGGGACTGTTCTTTGTTTCTGGAACTGTCTACCGATGCAAACAGAGCTTTAGGGCAATTGGGAAGAGGTTCAGGGAGCCTTTTGAAGGAGATCCTGCTCCGTTTAATTTAGTTCAGAGGATACAAAACATTCTAATCCTTTTCCCCTTTCCAAAACATAGAGAGAAAAACCCTTGTTTTCCTTTCGATAATTTTGCAAATAATCTAAATGACTCCTTCAAAAGCCAACATGTCTTCCCCCTCAGAAATGAACCGGCATCCCTCACTTTAGCTCTGGGGCTCAAGCATTACTCAGTTGCAGGAAATCAATTTTCGAACCAGAAAACATTCTCTGTAGAATCCGCTCATTAACGAAAGCCTTGTCTTTCTGAGGTCACTCTTTGGTCCCACCCTCCCCCAAAGGGCCTAAAATATGAACTCCAGCTCCAAGCACCACATCTCTATGAAATGGCCCGTGACATGCCCACTGCGGGTTCACGTCATGGCTGCACACACGTCTCCGCCCCCTTCCTCTGCACCCAACACGGAGGACACATCAATCTTCTCACTCAGAGACACTTTTTACATCTGTCTGGTCCTTTTAGAAAAACGACTTGAAAATAGATTTCCTGCAGACACCTTTCCGAGGGGTTCCCATCCCTCTCTCAGACAGCTTTTCTGAGGGACGACAGAATTAATCACGGCTCACCTTTCATGGCTGAGTCTCCACGGCGTCCTTCCTAAACGCCCACCTCTATTAATTTGCCGAGCGACAAACTGAGAACATGGCAGCCTTGGTGCCCAGCTTCCCATTCGCCTCTTCTGAATCCTGCTTGAGCTTTTCTTCCATGCAGAAAACCGTTGTCGCTTTCAGGAGACCACTTATTTAAGCCGACTTCCCCCTTGTGTCCATCTGGCTGGGTTCGTTTTCTCTAAGAGGATCTTTTAATCGGGCTCCTTCTTCTTTCTTAAAGCCTCAGCCTCCCCCAGCTCACCCCTGCCTTTCCCATTCAGACAACGAGCCACAGAAAGAATGTTTGTCAAACCTTGGTGAACAGCTGTAGCATTCAAATATGACCCCGATGGCTCAGGCTTTTTGATTATTTAATCTGCTTGAAGTCCAGGGCACCAAAATAAAACTGGCTTCTTAATCCGTTCGTGGCTTCTGCATTCTGTTGACTTATTAACCATGCTATGTCAACCCTGATTGCACTGGAGGGGGGTGGGGGGTTGCTCGGCATGGATCCTCTATCGGGGGTCTAGCAACGGAGCCAGCAGGGTGTGTAATATGAGGACAAATTGGCCTGCTGGAGGCTGACACGGTCTCCACCATGCACGTCTTTGGTCATCGGAGGGTTATTCAGCCAACATCCGTGGGGATTAGCTGTGTTGACAGGGTCTTGATGCCCTGAAATTCATAGCCACGGTTTCCTTTAGTGGCCAGCACAACCTCATCTCCCTGCTGCTACAAATACTTCTCAGCTGCTCGGTACCTCCTCCCCACAGCCCCACCCCCAGTTGAACTGACCTTTTGGTTAGCGTTGGGAAGACTTCACCATCTCTCGTCGTTCCCCTGATGCTGAGGTTCTGGCCCTGTCCTCATTTTTCACATATAAAACAATGAAAGCACCCCGTGGGAATAGCAGGGTCAGTGAACTGTGACTCTTCTCTAATTGAGGCTGTTGGGAACTTTCCCACCAGAGGCTGGGACCGTGTCTTTGAATGGGCAAATCCCCTGCCATTTGTTGAGGTGAGGTTTCAATGCCCAAAGCTACCCTCCAACACCACGCCGGAAGGGTCTGCACACCCATAGCGATGACAGCCTTCCCTTTATCGAGCAGCATGGGGTGGGAGGCTTCACCCCAGGAGGCATGGCTGAGCAGTTGAGTGTGGGCTTCAGAATCAGAGGAGCCTGGGTCTGACTAGCAGCCCCACTGTCACCAGCGCCATGTCTCTGGGTGAGTGCCTTAGCCATGCAGAGCTTCATCTGTAATGTGACGGGGGTCCTCACTTCACAAGATTGTGCTCCCAGTGAAATGAAGCAGTATGAGTCACGGCCCAGAGAGGTGTTTTTTTGTTTGTTTGTTTGTTTGGTTGGTTGGTTTTTTTAAAGAGAGATGCATGTGCTCATTAATTCATCACAACTTAGCAAACACCTATGAACCTAACTCTCCCTCTAG